CCTCAAACTGTGTTGGCCTTTAGAATTTTCTCAGGCTACCACCCAATGCTAGAAAAGCTGGACATCAGGAGAAAAACAATGGGCATTATTTAACCTTGCATGTTTATTGTTACCCAAATTCAATGTTGTTCATCATCAACTTTTGGTGGAAATTATTTCTGTTGTTTTACCTAATTGCCTCCAAATGTAATGACAGAGTAAGTCAGGCATAATAGAATACAGCGCCCACCTTTCCTTTCTGTGGTCTTCTGTTACTAAATCACAATGACAGAGTCTTATCCATTCATGTATTCATTTATTCCCCAAGCACTGGCTATGCTTACAGATAGAGGGATCCTTGCTTCAGTAGTGGGATCCCCTGTGGACTGTCCTCAGCAAAGGTCCATATGTATGGTCAGGACCTATGTATGGAGCCCTGTCTAGGATAAGGCTTTAGGCTTTACTCCCAGATGGTCAGGAAATACTGAAATTTCTTGGCTCAAGAAAGGGTGTGGACCACAGTTGGCAGTGACCAAGAAGTAGCCCTATAGTCAAGAGCATCAGTGAAGAAGCTGAGGCAGTGACCTGAGTAAAGTGATGTGACAAAGGTTAAGATAGTATAGTGCAAGAAAAAGGAGACAGAACTCAGACACATCTTGAAGTTAGGTCTGGCAACCCAAAAGACAAAGGGACAGGAAGAATCAAGCACAATCCAAGGATTTTGAGTTACTTTCAATCACCAAAAACATGATCCAAAATAAAAGAAAAAAAACTGCTGAATTTAGCCTCATCAAAATTAACTTTAGCTTTACAAAAGACTTGTTACTAGAATGAAGAGATAAAATATATGCAAATCATACCCAACAACAGATTTGTATCTAAAACATACAAAGAGCTCTCCAAACTCAACAGTAGAAAAAATACCAATTAAAAAATGCCACAATATGGGAGGCTTTCTCAGCCAGGACTCTTGTGGGAGGGCCTATGCCCTGCCCTGGATGAAATGACAGCCACTGGAGATCCCCTCCCAAGGAGGGCCTTACCCTCCCTGGGGATCAGAGTGGAGATTGGGTGGGGGACTGGGGGACCTGGTGGGGAGGGCAGTGGAGGAGGGGAGGGAGAGGGAGCTGGGATTGAATGTGAAACAAGATTGTTTCTAACCTAAATAAAAAATAATTTAAAAATAGGCATAAAACATAAAAACGGATATACAAATAGCAAATTAACACATAAAAGATGTTTAACATCATTAGCTATTAGAAGACATCAAAGTGAGATCACAATGAGATACTACTATATACCCATCAGAATAGGCAAAATAAACAACTCTGCATGCTGGAGATCCCTGGTACGTAAGAATATAAATGGGATTAAAGGTATGCGCCACCACAACTTTTGGTTATTGCTGTTTTCTTTTTTTATTACTTTAATTTTAAATAGCTTGCTTCACATGTCAATCCCAGTTCCCTCTCCCTCCCCTCCTCCAGCACTCCCCCACCATCCCCCCAGCCTCCCACCCTATCCCCACTTCCTTCCACGTAGGAGTTATCTAGAGTCTGTCATTTCACTCAGGGTAGGGTTCAGGCACTCCCCTAAGAGTCCAGGCTGAGAGAGCATCCCTGTTTGTGTTATGGACACACGATGTCTGTTTCTATTCCAGGGATAAACACTGATCCACTGCTCAAGGCCCCATAGGTTGCTGAGGCCTCCTCACTGACACTCACATTCGGGGGTCCAGATCAGTCCCATGCTGGCCTCCCAGCTGTCCGTCTGGGGTCCAAGAGCTCCCCCTTGTTCAGATCGCTGTCTCTGCTGGTTTTGCCAGCCCTTTCTTTGCCAACTTGCTCATCGCTCCTCTCTCTCTGTCACTGGGTTCCTTGGGTTCAGTTCAGTGTTTAACTGTGGGTGTTTGCCTCTGCTTCCATCAGCCACTGGATGAAGGTTCTAGGATGGCATATAGTTTAGACGTTAAGTTCAGTATCAGGAATGGGCATTTAAGGTGGTCTCTCCACTATTGCTGTTTTCTTTTTTTTTTTCTCCAGATTTATTTTGGTAAAAAAAATCCGATATAACCTTTCAAAAATTACATTAATGTTTAACATGCATTCAAATAACTTTCTTTTTTTTCCAGTTTAAATTTAGATAAGAAACGAGGTTGCTTCACAAGTCAGTTCCAGGTCCCGCTCCCATTCCCTCCCCTCCTCCCATGCCATCCCCCCAACCCCCCCACCCGTTATCCCCTCATTCCCCCAGGGAGGGTGAGGCCCTCCATGGGGGTGTCCATAGTCTGTCATTTCATATAGGGCAGGGCCTAGACCCTTCCCCAAGAGTTCAGGGTGAGAGTGCACCTCACATTGTTCTATGGGAGTCCAAAGTCCATGTGTATACTTGGGATGGGTACTGATCTGAAGAACTCAAGAAGCAAGTCTCCAAAACAGCAAAGGACCCAATTAAAAAGTGGGCTGCAGAACTAAATAGAGAGTTTTCAATAGAGGAGTCTAAAATGGCTGAGAGGCACTTGAGAAAGTGCTCCACATCCTTAGCCATCCGGGAAATGCAAATCAAAACAACTCTGAGATACCATCTCACTCCTGTCAGAATGGCTAAAATCAAAAACACCAATGACAATTTATGCTGGAGAGGATGTGGTGAAAGGGGAACACTGCTCCATTGCTGGTGGGAGTGCCAACTGGTTCAGCCACTTTGGAAATCAGTATGGAGATTCCTCAGAAAAATGGGAATAAACCTACCACATGACCCAGCAACTCCACTCTTAGGCATATATCCAAAAGATGCCCATTCATACAACAAAGATGTCTGTTCCACTATGTTCATAGCAGCTTTATTTGTAATAGCCAGAACTTGGAAGCAACCTAGATGTCCCTCACCCGAAGAGTGGATAGAGAAAATGTGGTACATCTACACAATGGAGTACTATTCAGCAGAAAAAAATAATGGAATCATGAGATTCACAGGCAAATGGATGACACTAGAAGAAACCATCCTGAGTGAGGTAACCCAGTCACAAAAAGAGAAACATGGCATGTACTCTCTCATATATGGATTTTAGACATAGATCTGGGGAGTGCCAGCCTACAATCCTATGGCCAGAGAGTCTGGGAAACAGAAACTTCATTTAGTGGCCGGTTAAGTACTGAGCTGAACTCAAGAAAGCCAGTAACAGAGAGGGAGGACTGGTGATCAAAGGGATTAAGACTGGGCTGGTTTAACCCCCAGAAACAGCTGACCAGACAAAGGTTAACTCTTGAATCCCAGGCATCAGCCTGGGAATCCAGCATGGGACTGATCAATACCCCCTGAATTTGGGTGTCAATGAGGAGGCCTAGGCACTATTGCTGTTTTCAAGACAGGGTTTCTCTGTGTAACAACCCTAGCTGTCCTAGAACTAGCTCTGTAGACCATGCTGGTCTCAAACTTACAGAGATCTACCTGTCTCTGCCTCCCAAATGCTTGGATTAAAGCCGTATGCCACCATCGCCTGGCTTATGGAAGTTTCTTGTAAAAATAAGTGTACTTGGGAAGCAGAAGCAGGTAAGAATCCCCATCTGTGTTGCTGTGTGCATGAAATACCTGTTCATGAGGCAGAGGCTGTTCAACCACCACCCACTGAAGGACAACTGAGCTCTTTGACTGTTATGAATAAAGCTTCTAGGAACATTCATATACAGGGTTTTATGTGAACATACTGTACACTTAAATTGTCTTTTTTGAGACAGAGTTTCTCTGTGTAGCCCTGGATGCTTTGGAACTTGCTCTGTAGAGCAAGCTGGCCTTGAACTCAGAGAGATCCATGTGCCTCTGCCTCCCAAGTGCTGGGATTAAAGGTGTGCACCATGACCATCCAGCTCTTATATGGCATTCTTGAATAGACAACACTCTAATGACAGAGAACAACATCAGTAGCTGCAAGGTAGGCAGGAGAATGTGACTGCAAAAGGATGGCGTTGAAGGCTGTGGGGGTTAGGAAACTTCTGTGTAATGAACACATATATGTGTTCAGAATCAGGTCTGTGCATTGAAGAAAGTCAATTTTACTATAGACTAATTTTAAAATTACAAAAGTAAAACTCAATCATAGAACACTTTCCTTGCGTGCATAGGAATCAGGATTTGATCCCCAGCACCAAAAACTAAATAAGATTTTCTTAAGTAGAGAAGCAACTGGTTTTTCCTGAGCACCTCCTTCTCTCCTTCCTCTTCCACTCATCCATCATCCTCCATCTACTGTATGCCTGCTGGTGTGAGGCGCTGTGCTAGATTTTGGAACTTAAATAGAACAGTATTCTTTCTGTTTCGAAGGACAAGCAGGCAGTAGAACTTGGACTCTGGAGTTTCTACTCAAGGAAATGAACCAAAGAGAAGACTGACCAAGGACCAAGTGAACAAACTGATCCCTTTTAGAGCTTCTTCCTGTGTAGTGCTTTTCCAACAGAACTCTTGAGCCTGAGGAAAAGGGAAGGCCCCTTGCTCCATACTGCATAGGTACCCACAAGAGAAAATGCCATGAGGGTTGGGCCCTGCTAAGAGGGACAGAAATGTTGGGTTAGAGGAAGATTTGATGCAGTTAACTGTAACCACTGTAAAGTCTTACATGGACATGCACAAGTGTGTGTGTGTGTGTGTGTGTGTGTGTGTGTGTGTGTGTGTGTGTGTGTGTGTAGGACAACCGTTTGTTTTGTTCATAAATCTGGACAGGTGATGGAGCTACAATCAGCCTCATGGTGGTTCTGGTTTGACCTGGACCCACCCGGTATCAGCAGTCAGCTGGTGATCAAAAATCCTCCTGATTTGTGTATTGCTTTCTAGATGTATCTAAGGGTTATCTAAGCCTTTTGTCCCTCATCATTCAAGGCTTACATAAAAAAGGGTCACCACATTCCCATTCTCAGCAGAACTGGCCCCAAAACATAAATACTTATTTTTCTTCTTCTCAGCTCTCTTCAGTATGTAATTCATATGTTACCTGAATCTGAATTCTGTTTTCTCTCTCCTGTTTGCAGGGAATCTGAAGCATGTGGTCTAGTTGACAGAAAGAGACCAGCTTCCCAGCGCTGGGAATCCGTGCCTATAATGAAGACAGTGTGTTGATGCAAGCAGTTTGTGGAATTTGTGACTGCAGGGGAAATTTGGAAGAAATTACTTCCTGAAATTTTTCAAGGGGCACCAAGTGGCAGCTGGCCTCCTGGGGTGAGGAGGCAGGCACCCCAGAGCCAGGCCTAGGGGGAAGAGCAAGTTATCCAGCATTTAAAGTGTTTATTTTAAAACACACACACACAAATTCAGCTTTCAGTCTTTCAAAATTATTTTTAAGCAAGTTGGGGAGGGGGTATTTTTATCTTCTAAAAGGGGACAAGTCAGAAGCTGCAGGAAAGTGGGGTTGGGTGGGGTTAGCAGACAGGCAGGTTTGGGCCCTGGGGGCCATCTAGGTAGAGCCCTGTGGAGGCGGGCTATCAGCAGACCGGGAGGGAAAGAGGAGTTTACCACTTTTGTTTTAGTGTTCTTCACCCATGTTGTTTTTAATAAAATTTCAAAAACCTAGCTCTGTGCCATTGTCCTCACTGTAAAGTGCTACTGACAGCACACACAGTTCTGAGCTTCTGTCACCAAAGGTCAGAAATGACCCCCTTCCCCAATCTGCCCTGCCAGCCTGACTCACCCTAAAATTTGGACCCTCATAGGGAACTAGTGTGTTCCCTGCCCAGATGACAAGTGCTGTCATGTACTGGGGCCTGTCCACGAAAAAGAAGGTACAGGGCTTATGGGCTCTGTGTCCATGAAAAGGGACCTGTTGCACTCTGAGGAGGAGCTTGCCCTGCCAAGGATTCAGGGGTAGGAGTGCCTGGTCTTGGGGGCATTTCCATGGGTACATTTCCAACCCAAGTGTAGACAGTTGATACGCATGGCCGTTGGTGGCCTGGTGTAAATTGTGAAGATGGTACAACAGCGATGAAAAGACAACTATTCAGCATGATTTTATAACCTGATTGACCAAATACTTATTAGGTTCTTTCAACCGCTGTGGCAAGTCTAAGAGACACAAGCACAGCCCAGTCCTGGCCTTGGGCAAGGGGAAGAAAAAGCAAATACATGCACAAAGCTAGGGCTCACTAAATTGAGAGCAACTGGCACAGCCCAACAGGCCCCCAGCCGCATGTCTGAAAGGTTATTTAACTTGAATTTCCCCAAGCAAGCAAGAGCATTCCACAGAAGGGAGTAAGAAAGTCTTGAGTGTGTCCTGAGCTGGGAATAGCCATGCTTTTATTAAAGAGTGAGGGTGTCTAGTGGACTGCAAGTACCAGTCACTTCAAATGTCCACTATTCTAATTATACACTGGGCTTAAGGCAGTTTGGCTTACACTGAAAAGAACGGGGATTGCAAAGAATTGAAGACTAAGGAGGTGCTGAATGGGCAGGTGCCAAGGTTTGCTTCTCAAAGGTTTGTTTATCCCACTTTCAGGTTCCCATTCCAGTTCTCCCAAGGGGACTGATCCCCAAAGTCCCTGGGAAGGGCCTTAGTTCTGAGAGGCAACCACCTGGTTAAAACAATGGCTAGCTAGCACCCTGTGGCCTTTTCAGTAGAGATGGACCCAGTCAAGGGTATGAGTCTGATAGGAGAATAGCAGAAGTTTTGGGGGGTAGCGGGGAACCTTTTGCCATGGGAGCCCTTCTGGTTAGGCTGGCCCTGTCTGAGAACTAGCTCAGCCTCAGTTCTGGCCCAACAGAATCCAAAGAAGCTACTGAGCTGACGACCTCCTGCCAGGCCTCCAAGGACACTAGTGCAGGGGCCTCCAGGCTGCCATTTGTTGCATTCCTATAGGATATGCTGGCCTGGAGTGCAGTTCAGTGGCAGGGCATTCCCTCAGCATGTACAAGGCCCTGGGTTCTGTCCCCTAGCACATCAAAAATAGGAGAGGCAAGAAAGGACAAAGGAAAGGGAAGAAGAGAAATAAAAGGAAAACAGGTAAAAAATAACAACAGGTAATACCAGGAGTCACATAAAATTTACAAAATAAAATTGAAATACCCAAAGGTAGAACCATCATCCATAAAACCAACACAGCAGGTTAAGAACTACTCTGTCCAGAATTATAAAGGCATGAAGGCAGTGATGGCTATGAGGAAAAGCACCAAAATATAAATTGAGATGGCCTTTTGTGGACTAGGAAATTAGAAGATGATTTATTTTTAGCCTTTTTTCATATTTTTTTTCAGATTTCCTCTGGTGAATTACATTTTATTTTTACAGCATAAGAATAGGCTTGGATAAAGCGCAGTGGTAGAATTCCTGCCTACTCTCCATGAGACCCTGGGTTGCAGCCCTAGTCCCACAAATAAAGTAATAAGCTAAAACTGAATTGCTTGTTCGAGCAGCATTAACTAAAACTCAGTCAGTCACCAAAAGAAAAGACATGAGGGTAAGAAAAGACATGTTTGTTAGAAGGGATTCAGTTGGAGGAGATGGGGAACAAGGGTAATGGGGGTGAATGGGATAAAAATTCATTATGTACATGTATGAAATTGTCAGAATACATTTTTTTAAATTTTGTAAATTGTCTTTATCTCATCCTCTGAGATAAAGATCAAAGTCAGTTGGAGCCTCCCACTGTACAGACTTGTGCTCAGCCTCAGGGCTGTTCTTACTGCGCAGGAGGCTCTGAGCACAGCCCCAGGAGAAATGGTCTCCAGTGCAAGGCAAGTGTATAGTAGTGTGAGCTAACCTTCTCATCAGCCAAAGGCTGCTGTCCACCTATCTACTGTAATACTAAGATCAAGTTCAGTGACTTTAATGACAACCACGAGGGAAACATTAGAATGCACCCCTTCTTATAGGTTGTTTCTTATTTTATTTTATTTTAGAAACACTCATTTACATATCCATGCCCCCATACCTTCACCCTTCCATCCTCCCATGCTTCCCACTGACCCCCCAACCCACTCCCCAGGGATAGTAAGACCCTCCATGGGGGATCATCAAAGTCTTTCACATCATTTGGGGGAGGGCCCAGGCCCTCCTTTCTGCATCGGGGCTGCAATAGTATCCCTCCATAGGGAATGGGGTCCCAAAGTCCATTTATGACCCAGGAATAAACCGTGGCTCCACTGTTGGAGGTTCTGTAGACTGCCTTGGCCTCCTAGCTATTACCCACATTCAGAGGGCTTGATTTGGTCCAATGCTGGTTCCCCATTGTGTTTGTGTACTCTCATTAGGTCAGGTCAACTGTTTCTGCGGGTATCTCCAGTTCCATCTTGGTTCATTTGCTCATCTCTCCTCCCTCTCCACAACTGGATTCTGGAAGTATGGCTCAGTGTTTAGCTGTGGGTGCCTGTTTCTGTTTTGATCAGCTACTGGGTCAAGGCTCTAGGAATGGTAACCAAGGTAGCCATCAATCTCATTATAGGGGAAGCACGTCAAAGGCAGCCTCTCCACCACTGCATAGATTCTTAGTTGGGGTCATCACTGTGGATCCCCTACCATTTCTTCTGGGCCAGACCTCTCTCCAAACCTGTACCGGCTCCCTCTATCAAGGCATCTCCTTTCTTGCCCCCTCTATTCCTCCTGTCCCTGTCCTCCTGTTCTCCTCTTCCTTTCCCCCCCTCCCTTTTCCATCTCCCTCCACTCTCTCCCCCGTGCTCCCAATTTGCTCAGGGGTTCTTGTCCCCCTCCCCTTCCTCAGGGGACCATGAGTTTTTCTCTTGGGGTCCTTGTATCCTGACTCCTCTGGCGGTGTTGATTATAGGCTGGAAATCCTTTATTTTGTGTCTAAAAACCATATGTGAGTGAGTACATACCATATTTGCCTTTTTGTGACTGGGTTACCTCGCTCAGGATGATTTCTTCTAGTTCCATCCATTTGCCTGTGAGTTTCAAGATTCTGTTTTTTTTTTTTTTTTTTTTTTTTTTGCAGTTTAAATTTAGATTAGAAACAAGGTTGCTTCACAAGTCAGCTCCAGGTCTCTCTCCCTATCCCTCCCCTCCTCCTGTGCCCTCCCCCCAACCCCCCCCCATTATCCCCTCATTTCCCCAGGGAAGGTGAGGCGCTCCATGGGGGTGTCCATAGACTGTCATTTCATCCAGGGCAGGGCCTTACCCTCCCCCAAGAGATTCTGGTTTTTTTTCTGCTGAGAAGTACTCCATTGTGTAAATGTACCACATTTTCTCTATCCATCCTTCAGTTGAAGAGCATCTAGGTTGCTTCCAGGTTCTGGCTATTACAAAGAACGCTGCTATGAACATAGTTGAACATATGTCCTTGTTTTATGAATATGCATTCTTTGGGTATATGCCCAGGAGAGTAATTGCTGGATCTTGAGGTAGGCTCATTCCCGTTTTCCTGAGAAACCGCTATACTGATTTCCAAAGTGGTCATACAAGTTTGCACTCCCACCAGCAGTGAAGGAGTGTTCCTCTTTCTCCACATCCTCTCCAGCATAGACTCGCATTGTGTTTCTTATTTTAGCCATTCTGGCTAGTGTAAGATGGTATCTCCGAGTTGTTTTGATTTGCATGTCCCTGGTGGTTAAGGATGTTGAGCACTTTTTTTTTTACATCTTTCCTCCTTGCAGTATCACTTGGCAGTTGCTCCTTGACTAGGGATGGGACTCTGTACCCACCTCCATCTCCATGCTGCCATTTGGTCTTCCTTGAACTTGCCCATGCCTCAAGTATGCTGAGCAACAGACTTTACATGAATATAGTCTCTAGAACAAAAATTTAATTGAGAAGGATTCTATGTTTCCAAACCTTCTATGTCTGACCCAATCGAGCAAAGCTGAATTCTCCTTCCCCTGGGTTCAGCCTAATGCAATATGCTGCTTGGTTGGGGTATATGGACAGGATCCAGTGTCACAGAGAGACCTGTTGATGCAAGGAGTTGCATTTAAGGGATGTTGAGCACTTTCTTAAGTGTTTCTCAGACATTTTAGACTCCTCTATTTAGAATTCTCTATTTAGTTCTGTACACCACTTTTTAATTGGATACTTTGGTGGTTTCAAGACTTGCTTCTTGAGTTCTTTGTATATTTTGGAAATCAGCCCTCTGTCAGATGTGGGGTTGGTGAAGATCTTTTCCCATTCTGCGAGCTGATGTTTTGTCTTGCTGACTGTGTCCTTTGCCTTACATAAGCGTCTCAGTTTCAGGAGGTCCCATTTATTAATTGGCAATCTCAATGTCTGTGCTACTGGTGTTATGTTCAGGAAGCAGTCTCCTGTACCAATCGTTCCAGGTTGCCTCCCACTTTCTCTTCTAAGAGGTTCAATGTGGCTGGATTCATGGTGAAGTCTTTGATCCATTTGGATTTAAGTTTTGTGCATGGTGATAGATATGGATCTATTTTTTGGATAGCTATCACCACAAACAATTTAAATAGACCTATAACCCCTAATGAAATAGAAGCAGTCATCAAAAGTCTCCCAACCAAAAAAAGCTCAGGGCTAGATGGTTTCAGTGCAGAATTCTATTAGGAAAGCTAATACCAGTACTGTTCCACACAATAGAAGCAGAAGGGACAATTACGTTGGTACCCAAGCCCCACAAAGG